AGCTAACCTTCCAACGACTCTCACTAATTGAGTGAAATGTCTTTGTTTAGCGATTCAACTCACATGAACAAAAGCTCATCACATAATATCTCAAACACGTAGCTTTAACCCTTAACACCTCTTATTTATGTATCTCAATTACTCTTTGAACACTCACAAAACAACTCATAACATTAAGTTCATTTCACTCAACTCTAGGTTTTTAACACTCACTATTACAACTCATAAACTATCTTTTCTTATTTTAAGCTTTTATGACCTCATGCATATCTTAAACCTTCAAAATGTTGCATTTTAACATGATATTCACTACTATTTTATCATGTTATATGGTTAGTTTCTTTGATAAGACTACATTTTTTTTGTTAAGTGTGTAGCAAATAGCGAAAATATATAAAATGAGGAATCAATCCAATTAGAGGTCAAAAAGGAGCAAAATGTGCCACATGGTTGTGCTTACCAGCTATAGCACGCCCAGCTAGTTGAAAGTTGCACGCCCATGCTACCAAGTATTGTCATGCTTGGTAATATGCACCACCGTACTTCGTTGGAAGCATCCCCTAGTTTGAAGGATGCATGCTCGTGCTATAGTGCATGACCATACTTGTTGATATTTGACAAATCCTTAATTTGTTGCATTTTTTCATGTTCTTAACTACCATTTTTTTTTTCTTCTTTTTATGATTATGCTTGATTAACTATGCAACAAATGGGTAAAAGCATGCAAAAAAGGGAATCCATGCAAATAAAGACCTTAAAAAGATGAAAAAAAAATGGTTGAAGTATATTATGCCCAATCATGCTTACTTGAAATACAATTATGCTTGAGAAAAGCACATGTTTTTTGCTAATGAAGTACGTTCATGTTAATAAGTAATGACTATGCTTGATAATATGATGGTCATGTTTCTCCTTGGAACACCTTTTACCAGAAGAAACATTTTCTTGCTAATGAAGAAACAAGTCATTATTACTAAGCACAAACGTGCTTTCTAGTAATATTCATTAAAATTATCTTAAAACTTATACATTACCTTAATTTAATACATATAATTAATACTATATAATAAAAATATTATTTTATTTAAATATTTATATAAATATTCATTAATTACATTAATTAAATACTATATTAATGTTTGATTTTATT